AATATTAATCATTAAGTGGCCCATGGATGTCAACAGTGCTTCCGTAGAAAGTCATTGTCAGAAAATTCATTCTAATTCAAGGTTAATTAGTGTAACATTAAAATTATGTGTTACAAAAATTAATTACTTGCTGGGTCAAAAAGTGTGTTAAAAAGCTTAATGCCTTGTGTCTGAGATTGCATTTCCTTACTCAAAATCATGTTCTACCTCTGCTGCCCTGCCCAAGAATATCCAGCAGAAGCAGCATGAGCTTCGGTTGCAGGTGTCTTCTGCCCTTCCTGCTGTTTTGGCACCGTGGTCGGGAAATTTGGCTCTCAGTTCCCATTAGCAGATAAATGAGTTGCTCACCTTGTTCCCCACTGCTCTGTCAAGAGATTTATAACCAGGCGTGGGCTAATTTAACTGATATCATCTGTGAAGGTCTGTGACTGTTTTGTGTAGCATACTGGAAAACACAGGTCAGTCTGACAGTGTCACAGCTTTGGGGGATGATTCTTTGGTTATCTGCAGGGTGATTTCCAAGGAATCCCCTGCTAGTGTGCCACATGCCGTTCTAAATCAGGAGAGGCTGATACTAACAGTAAGTCTAATTTACTACGTGTACATAGTAAACAAGGAAGACTACCCTGAGCTACCTTTGGAGCTGCCGATATATAAAATCCTCTACGGTTCATAGAAAATGTCTTAAAGCTGCTTGTCAAAAGGCTGTGTCACTGCTTGGAATGCATTTTTGCATTATAAGAGGATAAGGGCTCCAGCCTCAGCGCAGGGCTGTCAAAGTGCGTGAAACTGTACCACAGCTCTGCTGTGATGTCCTGTTGCAAAAACAAACGTTACCTTTCACAGGCTGGGCTGTTCTAGCCCAGAATCACAATGGCACCCGTGAACCCAACCCCAAAAGTTTGGCTTCACTTCAGTATACCCACAGCCCTTTCCAAGGCCAGCTGGGTGTTCAGATGTGTGTGTCAGCCCTCAGAGGGGTCCTACGGCACTTCCCATGTCCTTGACAGGCAGGACAATCTAAACATCCCCTCCCGTGGTGGCAGAGACGTGCAGAGAGACTTCAGGTGTGCAGAGACTTGTAGAAAGGGGGTGGGAAGAAAACTGCGGAGGTTTGGGAAGGGCCAGAGGCATGGATGCAGTAGCCTGTGTTGCAGAGCTGAGAGGGGTGCAGTTGTGGGTGATGCCTGCCCAGACACCCAGTTTTAGTCTTCTGTTGCAGCAGAGGCAGCGCTGGTGGGTTGAGTGTTTCAGACCTGCCAGTGGAATGAGCTTTTGTGGACTTGGCATCAGAGTGACTTAGCCACCATTGAAAATCTTACCCTTACTGTGTAAGTCATTGTTCCCAGAAAAGTCAGAGTTGTTGAAATCCCAAATCTACATAGGAAGACAAATCATATCATCGCTCCTGCTTTTCACGCGTTCCCGCTTTTTTCACCAAATTTTTTCCTGGCTTGTGGGTTTGATGCTAAATTAATGAAAAATTGAATTATGTGTCACTTTCAACATTTCTAGCATTATTCTCTAAGTCCAAATCGGGAGCAATAATACACTGCATGCTAATATTAGTATAGTTTTTCTTAAAAGTCTTTGTTAACTTTGCTACTGGTACTCAATGCTTATAAGCAAGACTGCGATTCTTCTCTGTGCTTTTTTTTGGCTGGCTTTGTTAATTTTCTCCTGGATGTTGCAGGGCCGGGCTCTGCTCCACTGGGCGTGTGACAGAGGACACAAGGAGCTGGTTTCAGTACTGTTACAGCATGCTGCTGACGTTAACAGCCAGGTAAGAAACGAAGACAAAGTTGAATTTGATTGATGTATTATGTAGCCTCCTGACCAAATGTTTCAAATGAAATTGAATTCTTCCAAAACTCCATAGGAAGTTCTCTCGGGGCGCTTATCACAGAGAAGAACATCCAAAAAAGGTAACCTGGGAAAAAAACAGAATTTGATTGCATGCAATATATAGTCATAAGGGGCCTATTTCAGTTCCTGCATCACCTGGCTGTGGCTTCCAATGTGGCTCGTGGTACTGATGGCATGAGGGATTTCCTGCGTACGAGGTGTTTGGCAGCTTCCTACATAAAGTGTACTCTCCAATGTGTTTTTTGTAGCACTACACTCCCAGCAGAACTTTGTGAACTAATGGAAAGAGAATCCCACTTTGCCTGGTAGAAAAGGATCCAATAAATGCCTGGTTTTGGCAGAGCACCCCCCAGAGTTAGGTGATGCCGCAAGTCACAGCGTGGTGTGCGTGTGACAGCTACAGTAGGATCTCGGTGCTGACTGAGGGCAAAGTCAAACAGTTTATGCCATTTCCATCCCCGCTTACCCACCTCACCCCCTTGGGGGTCACCATTTCTAGCACAGTTTGACTCAACTGAACATAAAGCAGCGTTTTAGCCACTGCAGTTTGCAACCCACATGTCTGAGCTTAAATAGCAGCAGTTTTAGGGTACCTTAATAGACCAGGCTGTGAACTGCTCAGCAACAGCTTTGCAAGGGGTTCATTCCAGCCAGCCAGCTTGAGTGTGCCTGTGCTCATGAGTCAATACTCCTAGTTTTGTCAGCTTGTTGTAATTAAGGGCTGACCTGCGTAAATGCGATCATGTTCGGAAATAATTGTCCAACATATTTCTGTCAAATTATGATTGACTGCTCTTTACCAGCGTGGCACTTATTGGCTTTGTTCTCCTGCCCAGTTTGGACATAGATACACCTCTGCTGACAAATTTGCTAGCTCTTACCAGTGACATCTTAAGCAGCTTTGCGATAAATTGTGAGAGATGGACCTTAAGCACAGTTGCAATATGAAGGCTTGTCAGCAGACCTGTAGTGTTCACAGGCTACAAATAGCTGTCTTGGTATTTACTCACACATGAAATCGTTGTAAAAAAGTCTTTTCTTGCCTTTGCCTGGGCAGAAGTGCAGGTGGAATGGGTATTAGGAAGCGCGGCTCTGCAGTAGCCGGTGAGAGACGTATCTTCATGCTTAGACCTCAGGGATTTCAGTTGTAATGGATTTTATAGGAGTTTTTCTTTACATAGAAGAGGGGCAGTGGGGCCCGTACAAATGGGGGGCTTTGTGTGCCCCACTGTCAGACTAGGCCATCGCCTTTCCGTCAGAGCTGGTGAGTGCCCTGTTGAATAAATGTGGGAACAGCCTTGCTTTGAAATCAGGGAGGAGTCGGATCAGACACCTGCCTGTCCCCTTTGCCCTGGCAGCCCGGCGGATGCTTCTGTCTGGGATGCTGTACTGCCGCAACAGTCTGAAAAGTCACTTCTTTTTGACGTTTATCTCATTTCTTTGGAGGTAAAGTCTCACTCTTAAAAGAAGAGGCTGAAGGGAGACTCATTTTTTCCCTGAACATTAACTTTCTGTTAAATTCTTCTTCTCTTTTTTTCTTTTTGATGTATTGCACATTTTCTAACCAGATTATTTTTGGCCAGTAACAAAAGGTTAATAATAGCCATAAAAAAAAAATCAATCTTTGAATATTTTTTTCCCCACCAAGGTAATAAAGGAGAATTTTTTATAAAGGTCTCTGTTCACACATAGGTGTGTTCCCAGAGAAGGCAGATACATTTTTATTCTCAGCCATATATAAATTGTAGTAACATTTCAAGACTTTGTGACCTAATGTTTATTTCTCTTTTTTTTTTATTTTGAACTTTACCCTGTAAGAATTCACATCCAAAGCAAGAGCAGAAGGAGTTTTAAGAGCAACCAGAAAGAAAAAGGGAGAGGGAAAAACTCTGGCTTCCTAACAGGCCATAAACACTGCAGCGCCTGCTATTATACATTACCAAATGCAGTATCAGTTAATGTGTAGGCTATAAAGAACGTTGGGTTAAGTGTAAGGGAACCTCTGGTGACTTGAATCAGTGGCGCTGTTATTTCAGAGCGATATGCTGTCGGTAGAGGTTCCCTTCGCAGGCTGCGTGCGGCACCTCTGCTAGAGCCTAGCGTGCAAGCAGCCTCTGCAATTTCTACCTGCCGCTCAGCTCTTCAGGTGTTTTTCCGTCTTGTTCAGTTGTGTAGCAGTACCTGCATGCAGGCAACATAAGAGATAAAGAATAAATTAGGGATTATGAGAGTTATGAGGAGGTAGTGAAGGAGAGAAATGCTATAGACCAATTTTTTTTTTTAATTGCCTGTGTTTTAGTATGCTTCTAAAAAGTTAGTCAGAGCATGGCAGATTTATGCTCTCTTCCATTGCCTTTTTAATAAATGCTCTTCCATCTTGGCTTTCTTGGTGTGTGCTAAAGGATTTAGCTGCCCTAAGCAGACGGTGACAGTGATGCTCTGCTAGGTGACCTGGAGCAAGTCATACTAGTTCTCTGTGCCTGCAGATGTGCCTTATTCACTTTTTGCTGCCTTATTTTAGTTATCTTTGTGCTGTCTGTTGTCAAACTATTTGCAGTCTCTGATCAAGAGGCTCTGCAAGAGTCAACTTACTGTTCTCTTATGATAAACATACAGCTTGGGAGCAGGAGGAGAGGTCGCCTGGCATCGCTTGCTGCTGTAGCATGCTCCAAACTGCTTTAATTGTGGGAATAACCACACACTCCTGGACTGCAGTGGTCCAGCGCCTGTGCTTTTTGTTATAAACAGTGGTACTGCAGTTTCAAAAGGGTGGTTCACTAATGTCACTGAAAAGCTGCAGCCATTGAGTTCTCTGATTGTTCATAATTAGTTCTAATAGCACATTTGAAAAGAGGTGATAAGCGATTGCCATGGGCAAGGGGATACAGAAAGGCAACAGGCTTCTCTACTTCGTTGAAAAGGGGCATTTGTGTAATTGAATTACCTAAATCTTCAGAGCCAGAGGCCATTTCAAAGTGGGTGGTGGTATGGTATTTTGGAGCTCTGCTGGAAATGCCTAGAGCTTGGGGCTTAGTATTGAAAACAGCATCCTTCCACTGGAACTGTTTGCCTAACATGTAGGCTTTTAATTGAATGATGAAGTGAAAGGAAGGGGAGTATATTCATAACATAACAGTTATGAATAAGCTCGACAACATGATTATAATATCCATTTCTAGCTTAAAATATATGAAGACAGGAATAATTTTTCCTTGCAGAGGATGAGCAACAAAGGAAGACCTTTTTCCCCTACAGGGAGGGTTCTCCCTTGCAATGTTTTCTCTGGCCTTGGAAAGGAGGGGTTTTGGGGCCAGGGGAGGCACTGAATGCAAGCCGTGCAGAATTGCACCCCAGCTTCTCGCTCCCCTGTGGCTGTGCCATGGCATCCTCAGTGTTCCTTGTGCCAGGAGCGGCGAGCTGGCCTGATCAGAGACTTTTTGTCCTCAGTTGTATCTGACGATGCTGTGCCAGTGCGGAGGAGACAGTGGAACTCGGCTCCGCTCTTGGATGTGAGGTGCTGCTCAACCAGCTTTCAGAGGAGCTCCTTCAGTGTTTTTAGGGGGAGGTTAAGGCCCAGTGTACTGCTTCGGTGCTATTAGGTGGAAGAGTGCTCTTGGGGCCGGGTCTAAGTCTGGTCACCTCCTCCTGCAAGAGCAAGGCAAGTAAGGCGGCTTGAAAAGAAGGATTCTGTGCTCTGGTGCAAAGGCGCCACGTGATTGCTCATCCTACGCAGGGAACATTGGAGGTATACAAATTACTAGTGCTGTTCTAAGAAAGATGAAGGGCATCGTGGTATAGTAATTGTCCAATGAGAGAGAGAAGGACAAATAGCATCTCTCATTTGTATCATCAAAACAGTAGGCTCTCCTCCTGGACTTGCTGTGGCTGCACTTTGTTCCATTTGTGGGTGCTCTTTACTCCAAAATAATAATCTGTGCATTCAGGGCGTGCCCTTGGGAATGTGTGGGGAGCTATCCTGGAGTGGTTGCCTCAGATCAGCTTACTCTGAAGAAGCTTTTCAAGCCTATCTGGCCATGTAGCAAGTCTTAAAAAAAATATTTTTAGTTGTAAGTGGAACTGTATCACTTGACATGCAGGATAATTAAGGGCTGTGTACATATCTATGTGGTAGAGCGGCTGAGTTGAAATTGTATCTATTATTTTATGATTTTTAAAATACATCATTGTGCAGTTCTATTAATCAGCTTATCAATGTTAGGGTAATCATTCGTGTATGCTAAAATTGTACTATAATTATGACTACAAGGATGAAAAAAGCTATAACTGATCTTCAGTTTTTATTTGATGACCTTTCACTTTCCTAGTAAAGGTGCAGATCACTGCACTGAGACTTTAAACCCAGTCAGCAAGTTCTCAGTGGTCAGCTGTGGACCCTCAGGGGTCTGAGAAGGAAATTTGAGGATCAAAGCTGAAAATCATCGGATTAGGAAATCTGTTGCTTTTATTTTGTTTATTTTATTTTATTCATTCATATACACCAGTTATTTCGGTGAAAAGCTCAACCACAGTATCTGTGCTGTCTGCAGAGAGAGTTGGTTGCTCTTTGGTGCCAATGTTGTATCTGTGTCTTGTACCAATTCACACAAGGCTGCCCAGCTGTCTGAAGTCATGCTTGTTAGCATGTGATTTTTGAGTTAGCTGGATTTTTTTTTTCTTTTTCTTTTTCTTTTTTTCTAAAAGACATCTAGAGTAGCAGGAGGAGTGTGGTTGCCTCTCCAGCTTGTCTTTTTTCCCAATACCCTGCCACCTCTTGCAGAGAGCGCTTCCCTCTTCTCTATTTACGTGCTAACACACTTGTGAGTCAGAGGGCTTCTGGAGATGGGGATGTGGAGTAGCCATCCCCTTGTAATACCTTCACTCACATCCTCATTGGAAAAAAAAAGAAAAAAATCTTTT